GTTCAGTATTGTCCTTTAATGGAGCTTGACTCATTTTAAAACATCATGAGGTTCTTACCCTAAATTCCACTGAAGAAAATGCACCCTTTTTTTCAGCTATTCAGCGAAATGCACAAAGGATGCAATAGTCCAAGAACAAACAAGTCCCCTATTAGAACAAAGGACCTTATTGCATGTGCTGAGCCTGTTTTATTCTGTAATTGTTTCATCTGCTGTTTAATACACATGAGTTTCTAAGCAATCCCTGGTTGTTCAATACACAGAGAAAAGTCTATCTGTTGTATGGCTCAGTTTCTTGTTTTTCTGAAGGACAACAGGAGACCCCTGTGCTTCATAGCTCTTCTCTGCCAAAGTACAACAGAGCTCTTGTTACATTTTCAGTTATTTATACATTATGATGGCTTTCTGAGTTGGTGTTCTTCAGCAGACATTTACAGAGAAAAACAGAAAAGTAACATCGCTACATATTACTCAAAACCTCAGGAACTAGTAGAGAAAATTTTCCCTTAATTCCTTAATAGAGCGTGTTTATGCATACATTTCTGTTGAGTTCAAACCAGAATGAATTTCCTAAAGAAAATACATCATTCCTTGTACAGGAGGAGCTGCAGGAGGTTCATGGGCTGTCACAGAGTGGACTAGGGAAGAGTCTGTCTTCATGTAAAACACAATGTCACAGAGGGAACAGAGTGACCAGGGTGGCAAACGCTCTTTGTTACCACAAGAAATATTTAGAAGTTACATAGTTTTGTGCAGCTTTTAATCAGGGTTTAAGAGTGTCATTGCCTATATAAAATTCAGATAGACATATTTAGCTTGCCAGCATCCAACAGGAGAGTTTGAAATCTACTAGATAGCAAAAAACTTAACTGATGAATAATAATATTAATTCTGAACAAGAGCACACGCTGTGTCACATGCTGTGGCCATGCGTGGTCTCACATAGGAAGTCTGATGAGAGTACGACGGTTCCTGTATCCAAACCTGTAACATTAAATGCTCTTTTTCTTTCTAATATTGCAGCTTCCAGTATATAGGTAGTAAACAAGGAGCCTTTGGTCCTCATTGGAGCAGGGTAGCCAATAACAGGGTATCCTTGTGGGGTCTCTCTGGGAAGCCTGAAAGCATAGCTCTGAGAGGTGTTGTATTAAAATTAATTTTAGGACCATACCTAACTGCTCCATTGGTTGGGTGTGAAGTGCCACATATGCTGTTGTCTGGTCTACATGGTCTGCACTAGTTGAATAAAGTGGACAAAGCTAAAACCTCTCCGTACACAGAGGTGGGCTGATAATAGTGCTTATCTTTAAAAATTAGAGATAATTAAGCTCCAAAGCAGGAGTGGGAGGAAGAAACAGTAACACTGAAATGGAAAGCCAAGTGCCTGGTATGGATGTCTGCTCTGGTACTGTTTCAATGCTGATCAAAGCCTACTGGAAAGAATACCTGTGTCCCAACCCTGGGAGAGCCCAAGGGAGCACCAGAGCTCAACTCAGTGGGAGCACAGCCCCGAGGAGCCAGCAGATGCTTGCCAGGTCGCCCTTGGAAAGGACTAGCAAGACGAGTGCCTTGGTTTGTTTCCAGGAGGCAGAATACAACCGTGGTTAGACCTCGTAATGCCTCCCTCACCTTCTCTGGCAATTGCTAAATCTGACTTAATGAACCCTTTTCAAATTATGGTCAAGGCTGCTTTATATATCTTGGCATTGACCCACTCCAGGAAGGGGGATGTGTGTGTAGGTAAGCATGTAGGATTGCAGATGAGGTGTTCACAGTGACTTTGGACTCTCTGCCCAGCAGCCTGGGTGTTGCTGTCTGGAGAAGGAAGTAGTTAGCTCACAAGTGTGGCAGAAGCCACGTGCTTTTGCCAGGAGGCCAAGCAGCCCGGTGGCCAGCTGGCAAGCGCAGGGAGAGCATGCAGACTGGGCCATGCCGGGGCTGCCTCCGTCCTGCCCCTCTCCTGCTGCATTTGCACAAGGTGCTCGGAGCATGCTTTTCCTCCATGTTGTATACAGCAACACTGGCACTGAAAATCAGAAAGTACAACTGCACAAACAGCGCTTATTTAACACCCATCTAGTGAAACCACTGCCTTTTCACTTACATAATTTAATTAATTTAACCTGCTACGTTCTGAAAATCTCAGAACTACTTATGAATATCACTGGAAGCCCACAATGCATCTTCCTTAGCCCCTGTGTTCGATAAGGAGCACTGGGCCTGCATTTTAGCACAGCCTATCTTGGCACTAAGCTGGGGCAAGATTTATGAATGTTCCGGGGATGCAGCACCTCATGCTGTGATGCAGACACCTCTGGGTGCAAAAGGAGGCAGAGACCACCAGCTGAACCACCCTGAAATCGCAGCTTCCCTCTTTGGAAATTCTGGCATGGATTTAACAACACACCAAAACACTTTCTGAAGAGGAAGACCAGGAGAGAGAATTGTGTGTTACAGTGGAGCTATGAGGCATATTTAAGGAGCTGCTGTGGCCATTGCAGCATGCGAGTAAAGAGGCTGTGCATACTGCAGCCAGTCTGAACTGAAGAGAGATTTCTGCTAAGGTTGCAGCAGCCATCTTCTTTGCTGCTTTATGAGTTATTGGCCAAGTGTAAGTCACAGGCGCACTGAAGAGAGGCACCATCAGGGTGACAGTCTCTCGCTGTGGAGGACAAAAAATTGTTCTGGTCTGCCCAACCAGGCTGCCCAGGGACTGAGAGGAATTTGGCAGGTCCCTTCACTGCTCTGACAAGGATTTGTTGTGTCGTTTGGGGCAGCTTGTCCATTTAATCACTGTATCACAGCTTGTGCATACACTAAAGCAAAAAGCATACATATTTAGTGAGACTGTCTTGCGATTTATATTTATATAGCATATTGTGAATTAGAAGCATTACATATGATCTACTGCTGTTGCTACTAAATCAGTAGCAGACTGCTTCAGGTTATGTTATTTTGGGTTTTGTGTCAATAGCTGAGACTATTCTTCGTTTGGATTTCTTTTAGGCCATATATATATATTTATAGTCCTGCATTATTAACAGTTGCTTAAAATTTTCCACAGCTCTGGCTATTGCCTTTCGCAGGAAAATACGACAGAAAAGGAATCTGAAATATATTGCTTGCTACAATACCATAGTGATAGTAATACTTCACACAGTGGTAGTAATACTTGCTGCAGTAAATTCTGCTAGTATGTACAAGGCAGGCAGATCCTAACAGGTGCACATATGAGTAACTCCATTAACTTGACAAGAGCTATATTAGTTTAGCCAAGGAAGTGGCCCTGAGGATCTTTTTATATGTTAGAGTTATTGGTGGAGTGGGACACATTCAGTCACTGAGGCTGTATTTATGAGGAGACATTCAAGCAGGGTTTCACTGGCATTTTGAAAATGTCTTGACTAAACTGGGAGAACATCATTCTAAGGAGAAATTGCTAGTAGAATTTTTTCCACTTACCTGTTTTTAAGGTTTTTCCTTCGTTCATTCAAATGCGGACAATAGCCATCTACCTGCATCAGCTCCCTGTTGCACTTTCACTTGTCACACTGCTATTAATTCAGAATCAAATCACTGATACAGCTTCAAATGCATACCTCAACCATGGACGACTACTGAACATCATTATCACTGCAAATGCATGCCAGTCATGATGACTACAAAAACTCTGATATATATTCAAGCATGCACTTCTATAATTGATGTATAAAATTATAGACCTGTACTTAAATATTATCGCCATCATTAAGCCATAAAAAAATGCATGCAAAAGCAGCCAGGCATTTATCCTCATTAACAAAAGAGATTTTTAAAAAGTTGCTTCCCTGCAAACACCATTGTTTTAAATCTGTGCTCTGTGCCTAGTTCTTAGAGAGAGCTAACCATATTTAAGCTTGGAAGCCTTGAAATCCAAGCCAATAATGGAAATAAGGTTTTCTGAAAATGCCACACTTTCCTCTTTGGTAAACCTTTTATTCAAAAGTACTGCTGCTGTTTTCTAGGAATAAGAAATTGTGCCAAAATACTGTACTCCTAATGAGTTTCTAGTAGAATGAGTCTTTCACCATTCCCTGTGCAGTTGCATCTGAGACTCCAACATACACAGCTCTCCCTTGGATTATTTTATAGGGGTTTTTTATTTCATATTTATCATTTAGATCTGCAAAGTGAAAAACACTAATCAGTACTCTCAACTGGGCAAATGATCAAAGCTCTTCCATTGACATTCCAAATGTAGGTAATAGGAGCATTGATGAGAAGCCAGGGCCATACTAACAACAGGCTTCCCATGCAGTGATGTTCTCTGAGCTACAGGTGTCATATTTTTCTGAGACCTGCTGCTATAAAAGTAAAAAAGTTTTCATGTCTCACTGTACTGTCTGTAAGGTAATAGATGCTGAATACTGAAAAGTGATCTGTAGAGCAGATTTCTTTCTAGCTTAGGAATGGGCAGAGTTTGGTTACATGGCCAAGTGCCATCGATGGCCACTCTCTTGTTCATTACAACAGCATGGCCCAAAGAGCTTCAACTCAGATCTCCCCTGACAGTAAATGTCTATATTTTCATTTCTGACAAACCCACATCATAAGTAATTTCTATTAATTTATCAGCAGATGTACAAGCATATGCCAATATTACGAACTTACATATTTTTTATGTCAGAGGTCATTTAAAAACTATTATTATTTTTAAACTCTCCAGGTGGTTTGATTTCTAAATGACACTTCTTGTAACTGCCATTATTTACAGGCAAACAAAACTATAGGCATCAAAAAGAGGGCCTATGACTTCAGAATCTAAATTAATTATTGCTCTATCTGGCTTTGGCATATAGTCAGCATGGCTCTCATTTGCACAGGGTTTGAGCTGTCCTCTCCTAGAATAATGATTAATGAAAGAATTTTCAATATTAATTTGTTCAAACTGTAGAAATTTCTTGTTTAGTGCTTAGTGCTGCTAGCCCGTATCTTACTACATCGTGTTTCATTTATTCCAGATAATTGATAAGAGCAAGAGAGACCCCTCTGAAGAAATTGAGATCCTCTTGCGATATGGACAGCATCCAAACATCATTACTCTTAAAGATGTGAGTAGAGTTTGAGCACTTCAGCATTAAAATGATTTTCACCTTATGATCAGACTCACCTACTAGTCCAAGTCTGGAAAATTCTTCAGTTGAAGGTCAGAGCTGAAGAGACCCACTGAAATCAAGGAAAAAAAAAAAAGTGATTTAACAAATTACTGGATAGCAGTTGGAAGGACTGGTCAGATTATACATTCTGCAGTTACCGTCTAACCACCTGTAAATAAAACCAAAGGGGCACAGCGCTGGAGAACAACAAAATGGGTTTGGTTTTGCAGCACTTTTCAGAAGTGAGAACTCCCTAGTCGGGTGTTTCAGAGCAAGCTGCTGAGCACACACTGTGGTGCTGCTGGGCAGGGGATGCTCTGTCATAAGCAGCAGCCATTCCCATGCAGCCTGTGGTATCTGCTTTGTTGGGAAAAGGAAAGTCATTAAGGTTTCCCCTAATAGTCACTTAATGCCGGGGAGTATTTACCTTCTAGTCAAGCAGCCTGAGAAGACATGGAGGCATCTTTCTTCAGCATTTCATATGAAGAATAGCCTTCACTATGCTTACATGTAGTAACAACCTTTGGTCAGAAATGTTTTACTTACGCTGCCTGCAGTCTCACCTGGGGTTGTCCACACCATGGCAGATTCAGTTTACAGAACAAAATCCTGCTGATGTCAGTGGCCAGTACGTTATGGCTCAGACCTTAGAGAAGGATATAAAAAATTTTTAATCATATGCCTTCAGGAAAGTCTCACCTAATTCCTAAGTGTTAAAGAGTATCTTAAAATCTGTGCAGAAAAAAAAATGGTTTTATATCCCTTTCCGAAAAAATTTAGCATTGATGACTATAGCACTGCCTATTATTGCAGTCCAGATAAAGGATTATGACATGAAAATGGCTGTCTTCCAATTTAGACAAAAAATGTCTTTTACCCCTTGCAATTGATGTTGAAGGTAAATACATCTTGCGGCTGATGTCAACAATGTATTCACCAGTATTGCAAATATAAACTATATAATATCATTGGAAGTAGGTCTTGCCCAACTGTATAATACAGTTCATTTAGCTGTTCATGAGTCAAAGGGAAATATTGATATTTGAAATGGCTAATGTTACCCTGTAGAAGTGGAAAGAGAGAACACTACTGAGAAGGAGGCTTGGGTGAGAGCCAGGACACTTTTCAGGCTGTGTGAAGTGGTGCTGCTTTTAGCAGCTTGGTCTACACTGCTGCCATTACAGCAGATCAGGAAAGCTACATTTCTGTGTGGACAAATCGGCAAGTTGCTACAGACACGAGGAAAAAAGTGATGATTAAGTAATTTTATAAAGTTGCCTCTTCTGTTGTTAAGCTTAATAAGCACATTTCCCACACATTAGCAGACATCTTCTTGCAACATCTCACACAAACAAACCAGCACTGTGATTAAATGACCAACCTTTACCAAGTTAATAGGTCCAGAACATATATTTGTTCTATTACTCTTCCAGGTCTATGATGATGGGAAATATGTGTACTTGGTGATGGAGCTGATGCGAGGAGGTGAGCTCCTGGACCGCATTCTTCGGCAGAAGTGTTTCTCAGAGCGGGAGGCCAGCGCTGTACTGTGCACTATCACCAGGACTGTGGACTACCTGCACTCTCAGGGCGTAAGCATTTCTTTTCTGGCTGTCCACATCAACCTTAAAATCTGACTTTTAGAAAAAGCCAATAGCTGTGATTTTGCTTCTCTGAAATGTAAATATGTTGTGTGGTTTTTTCAAAAAAAAAAAAATCTTTCTCCATATTTATAATTACATCTAGTTTGTGAAATACGGTCATAGGCTTTTTAGTTGTTTCCCAACTGAACTGAGGTAGGTTGAAGTAATATTTGCATTCCCAAACTAAACTGATTTTCAAGTTCATGTACCTTGTTGAGATATTACTTGTTTACTTTTTATCACAGTCATTATTGCAGTACCTGATCTTTTAACAGAATTTCAAATAGGGTAGCTGAATCTGCAGATAGGTAGAAAACTGAATGCTCAGCTTTCCAAATGAAGTGGCAGTTTGAGCAGCTGATGGGAAAGACTTCTGACATGCTGTTAAAGAGCTGGCTTTTAAAATCTAAGCTCTCTATATACAGCAGTTTGAAAATCTCTCCTTTTCTGCTTTTCAGGGACAAGCAGTTTGGATGACTAGTCAAATCTTTGCTGCTTTTTCTGTTTCATGGTTAAAACAAGTGCATTTTTTGCTCAGGCTTTTATGTTTTCATGGTGGTTTTTTTCAGTCTTGCTGTAACAAAATGAGGTGGGTTGACCCTGACCAAAATGCCAGGTG